TGAATAGTTTCCTCCTCTGCCATGCTGGGATTGGCAGAGACATGTTTTAGTAACATGACCCTTCAGTGTTTTAAAACACAAACCCTCATGAACAAACACTTGACCTATAATAACCTGGATCAGAGAGGTCCTGATCCAGGTGTGGGGTGCCCTCATCAGTAAGTCCTGAGTACACTCTGTCCCAACCTGGGGAGACTCAGGAAACAATAACTCAAACCTGTTTTAGGGTTTGGCAGACTCCCAGCATGATCCAGGATCAGAGTCCACATTCTCCACTCAGATCAGAGACGAGAGAGACAAGGAGAGAAACGGAGCCATAGGGAACCGCATTTGGAAAATAAGTGAGCTGTAACAGAGAGCTGAATTAGTCTTTACCACATTCTGTCTTGTATAGGCCTGTCCAATTCAGATATTACCATGTACTTCCATGTGTCAGGAGCCAAGCAAGGTCCAAGCCAAAGACAGAGCTGACCAAGACAATCAGCTGGCCATTCAGAGTGTACACTGGACAACACTGCCATGGAGAGCTCTGAATTTGGCTCCAGAAATGGCACCCTAGAATCTTAGGCTGACTACATCTGAGGATGACCATTTGGAGGACAACGGTTATTCAGCCATATATATTTTGGTGTACAATATGACAGTCATCTGACAACAGAGATGATTTGGAGTGCCACAAAAATGTGGTGTGAGGCCAGGCATGGTGGCTTACGCCTATAATCCCAAACTTTTGTAGGCTGAGGTGGGAGGATCACTTGAGGTCAGAGGATCACTTGAGGTCAAGAGTTCAAGACCAACCTGGGCAATATAGCAAAACCCTGTCTCTACAAAACAAATTAAAAAAATTAGCCAGGGGTGGTGGCTTGTGCCTGTGGTCCTAGCTACTCAGGAGGCTGAGGTGGGGGGATCACTTGAGCCTGGGAGTTTGAACCTGCAGTGAGCTATGATGACCCCACTGTACTCCAGTCTGGGTGACAGAGTAAGACCTTGTCTCAAAAATAATAATAATGTAAAAAGTTATGTCCTGTTTATGGAATAGCTGTGGTTTGACATGCACAGGTCATTGACAATGAGCTCCCTGAGGGCAGAGACTATATCTTAGTCAATTTGGTATTTCTCAAGCACCTGGCAAGGTAATCTACAAACAGAAAATGCTCAATAATGGCTGTTGAATAAAAGACTGACTCAATCAAGTACTGAGCCCCGCCCTTATAGAGCTGAAGGCCATTAGAGCAGATAAAATGTCATAAATCGGCCGGGCGCGGTGGCTCAAGCCTGTAATCCCAGCACTTTGGGAGGCCGAGACGGGCGGATCATGAGGTCAAGAGATCGAGACCATCCTGGCTAATACGGTGAA